GACCGCCAAGGTCCCCGCCTTTGGCCACTGCCCAGCTCACAACGCACCCGAAACCTATGGCCCCTCCTTCAAGTGGTGAGCCCATTGGAGGGGGGACCCACGTGCCTTGTTCGGGCTGTGCCCGACCAGGCCCCATGGGTGTAGGCCTGGCCACCAGGCGCTCGCCATCGAGAACCACCCCCAGGCCTAGCTCCAAGAGGGGGCCCCGGTGACCCACGTCCGGGCAAGGGAAATCGTGAATCCATGTTTGTGTTCATCATAAGGGTCTGACGAGCCGCACTGTTTAACTGTTTGCCTTGGGTGACCCTACCAGGGGCATAAAGCCCCGGGCAACTTAGCTCCTGGGATCATTGGATCATTGATCATTGATACACATACATATATATATATATTTAAATATGTATGTATGTATGTGTATATGTATGTATGTATGTATGTATATATATTTGTGTATATATATACACACACACACACAAATCATAATAATAGTTTTTAAGTTGATTTATTTTTTCTTTTTCTCCTTCCTCACAATTTTTCATTTCAAATTATTGACTTAGGCCTCGTCCACACGGACGTTCGAGACGAACGCCCTCTGATCGCCATACGCATTTTTCCTGCGTTTTGTAGCTGCGTTCGATTGGCGTTTCACTGGCATTCGCTTGACACTGGCATTCGCTTGACGCCCAGTCTGTAGTTTCGTGTATTTACCTGTGGGGGCAGTAATTACTCTTAAGGTTTCTAATGTATATTTCGAAATTTAAGCAAGACGAAATCACATTGTAAAGTTCTAGTTTTACATTTAAAAATTACTTTCAAAACGTACATAATTTGCGTCTTTCATTTTCAGTTTTTTTGTGATTTTGTTTCAGGTTCATTGTGATTGTGTGTGTTTCAGTCGCCGTTTTCTGAGTATGTCGCACCAGTAATAAGTAGCCAAAGTTATGCTGTACTCTCGAATCCATCCGTAATTGTTGAGGCATTGGAGAGAAGCGGGGTTTATTAATTGCTTAAATTTGGGGGGGATCAGCTGCAGTGTGTAAACTAATTTTTAAGCTAGAGGTCCAAGATGCATTTATGTAAATTTTTTATTTACATCCACACATCCATCAATCTCCCCACTGCTTATCCTGATCGGGGTTGCAAGACTTAATGATAATTACGACCGTAATTGCTTTAACGCTATAATTATTTATAGCGCATGGTTTTATGCTGAAATATTTCTACAGCTTTTGTAACTTCATATTAACTACAGTTGAACCCTAGTATGAGTAAAGCCAGTTGAAAAGAGAAAGCAGATACGGCGCATCAGTTAAATGAGTTTTTCTTTATTGATGTCCAGATTTCCAGTTGCCTACTGAGCTTTTTAAATTGGTATTTTAAGCAAAAATATTAGCACCAGTTGATCCGTCGGTTGGGTTACTCGTAATATTGGTATTGTACCAGCAGCTGATTAATTCACTGCTGGTACAATACCGATATTACAAGTATCACATTTTCCGTAAAATGTGGTTTCTCGCAGTTGCCGTACAGAATCATGGGACATATTCAGTCCTCCTGAACGCCAACCGAATGCCATGTAAGTGCAACAGCGTCGTTTTCCTCGCGTTCGTCGGGATTTTGATGCCAAGAAAACGTTGCATGCGGCGTTTATTTGACGCCACCTGAATGCGTAGCCGGCCGAACGCCGGTGCTGAACGCCTGTGTGGACGCTTTGATTTGCTGCAATGAGCAGAAAAATGGTCGGCGCTCACCTGGCGCCACGAACGCCAGAAAAACGCCTGGTACAGACGTCCGTGTGAGGCCTTACTGTCACCTTGTGTGCTTCGACACGTTAAATAAATACAGCTGATCTTATGGAGTAAGATCGCTGTCAAAAATAACTCGTAAAAATGTACGTCAAATGTACGTTTCACAAGCGTAAATTATGCTTGCGCCTCTGAAAATTACGCTTGCTTCTGAAATTTACGCTTGCGCTTCTGAAAATTATGCTTGCTTCTGAAATTTACGTTTGCGCTTCTGAAAATTACGCTTGCTTCTGAAATTTACGCTTGCGCTTCTGAAAATTACGAGTGGCTTCTCAAGCCTGAA